ATTTGCTTCTCAGCATATTATTTTAATAATAAAATTAAATAAGATTTATATTAAATATAATTATTTATACTATTAAAAGTTTAGAAATAATAAGAAACTTTAAATAAAAATATAAAAAATCATATTAAAATTATTTCTTACAACTAATGATTAAAAAATAAAAAAATATATTGGGTATTAATCTTTTTTTATCTAAAATATTTGTCAATATCAATAATCACTTATCACAAGTGGTTACTTTCATTACAATTACAAAAGATTTTTATTCAAATATGCAAAAATATAATTGCTTTCAAACTTTTCAATATTTTTAAATAATTTATTTAAACAACTTATATTCTTATCTTCATTTTCTCTTCTCATAAAAAAAAATTATTTCAAAATTAATATCCGACATACATATAACTTTCATTCAATTTCAAAATTCTCCCATCTAGAATTATATTACTCTCAATAAAATCATTAGATTAAGATTAAATCATGGATATCAATGTAAACACTGTAAAACAATTTTTCACGAAGAATCATTATCCTCGATGATACATCATGGTATTCGCGTTATCATAACCAACTTGAGTTATTTCTAGAATCGCTGTGCTTCAGGTGACATTACTTTATTTGACCTACGGAGTGATGTACGGTCTCGGTGCAAGTCTTGCCTACACGCCTAGCCTAGCGATCTTGGGCCATTATTTTAAGAGATACTTGGGCTTGGTCAATGGGATCGTCACGGCTGGAAGCTCTATATTTACGACCCTTATGCCGTACCTGATTGAGGTCATACTCCGACGTTTCGGTTTGGAAGGCACATTGAGGTTCTTAGCTATGCTCACGGCGATCGTCATGCCTTGTGCTATACTTTTCAAGCCGATTCCACGTAAGTTTTACTTATGTATACGTATAACATATTGAAGTTTTGAATAAACCGAAATTTCTATTCTTCAGAGCTTTATTTGGAACCCATTTTCGTTATATAACGACTGAGTACTCGCACGAATTTTATTGTAAATAAATAATCGTATGAAAAATGTTTTAAAATAAGTAATAATATGTATATAGTATTTTACAATATATTTATATATACTCAACTTTCGTTATACAAATAAAATAACGAATATAAAAAAATTTCATGATTTTTTTTACTACATTTTTTAATACAATTATTCCAGTTAACTCGATGCCAAAGGATCAACTAAAATCCAAATCGAACTTCAAAAACTGTGTCAAGCAAGTGATAAACGTCTCGATATGGAGGAAAAAACGTTACGTAGTGTGGGCTAGCTCCATTCCCCTAGCTTTGTTCGGGTTAGTATTACCGCGATCAATGAGCAATTATCTTCACACGTGTGAATGATTTTATAAGGTTAACCAATTTAAACTTTGTTGTCATGGTTTCATATTTTTCTTCATTCTTATTATTAAATTGTTCATTTTAATTTATAATCACACGGAATGCTTTAGAGTTGTCAATTTAATTTCAATCGATATGTAAAAACCAACATGTTGGTAACGGTTCTGGTTGCGAAACTTGTTTCTTAATCAAGTTACATGGATTTGTAATTCAAGATCGCAGGAATAAGATCGCAACAAAAGTGTATAAGGCAACGTGTATTGGCATGAATTCTCAGATCAATGGGAATGTCCGTTTCAGATATTTCGTCCCGTATGTTCACATAGGAAAATTCGTGGCGACGGTGTTCAAGGACGCGGACGGGAAACTCCCGATCATGTGCATCGGTATCACTTCCGGTATTGGTCGATTACTCTTCGGTTATATCGCTGATTTGCCAAGGGTAAACAGAATATTGTTGCAACAGGTAAATTGAGTATTAAAATTCAATAATTTTAAAATACACTCATTGTTAGATTAATATTTATATTACATTTTATGGTATATTACATTTTATGATAGGATATTTTAGATCAATATTTTTATTATATTTATTATTTTTTTGTAATTTTCAAATAATTTATAATTTTTGTTTTTTGTAAGAAAGGTAAATTGAAAAAATACAATTTTGTTGCTATGGAATAATTAATAGTTTTTTAATTAAAATTAAAGAAGTGAAAGAATTATTTTGATATCACTATAGAATATGGTATCCAAAGATTGGGAATCATTAATTTAGATAACTACATGTTGATGAAATTCTTTGATTGATATATTATAGTTTGTATTAACTACATTGTAAACTAATGTTTTCTGATCTTTTTTTTATTATGGTCTTTTTACAAAATAATTTACAAATCCTTCTCTCATATTATTATTAAAATGTTTAAATATATTGAATCAATATACTGAAATAAATGAATATTAAAAATTTTTTTGATAAAAATAAAAATTTAAAAAAATTCAATTATAATAAAATATAAATAAAATATTCAATTATTTTTCAAGTAAAGAAACATTAAGAATATAATTTTTTAAATCTAGAAATAAAGTTTTCTTTGATAAAATAATATATAAAAAAATTAAATTATATTTCATAAATTTCTTAACTATTTTATTTCTTGTTTTTTAGATATCGTTTTTTAGCATTGGTGTTCTCACAATGCTCCTCCCTGTTACACCTTCGTTTATAATATTGCTACTTATTTCTTTGGTCATGGGATTATTTGATGGTTGCTTTATATCCCTTTTGGGCCCTATTGCATTCGATATATGCGGTCGAGAAGGGGCGACACAAGCTATAGGATTTCTGTTAGGCATGTGTTCTATACCTTTGACTATGGGGCCACCCATAGCTGGTTTTCTATATGATCATACAGGTAATGAATTGATTAATTCATTTATTTTTTTTTATTACTTCATTTATGAGTAAACAAATTTAATATCTATTTTCAAGATTTTTGTTTAAAAATAATATAAGATAATATTAAAATATTAATAAACTTTTTTAATTTTGCAATTTATTACTTCATAAGAATTTTTCGTTGCTATTAATATATTATATTATTATCATAACTTTTCAATTATTCTGATGTATACATCGAATAAAATGACATATAATAATATATAATAATGTGAATAAATACAAAATTAAAATTTAAATATTTAAGAATTAAAATTATTAATTGCATTATATTTTTCATTTTTTTAACATATTGAAAATTATAAGATAAAAGATTGAAAATTAATATAATTATATTATTATTATATATTATTATATAATATAATTATATTATTTTTTGGTTTATGTAGGTACCTATGACCTGCCTTTTTACTTAGCCGGTATTCCACCAATAGCTGGAGCACTCACGATGTTCCTGATAAAATTTGTAAAGGATGAGGAGCAAAATAGCGTTACCGCAAACACAGGGGATAAAGCTGCTTGTCAGAATGGTCGGTAAACAGGTATTTGTACATTATTCACATCTAACTAACAAAGTTTGTTTCTCCATGTGGTATCGAAACACGTGCGTGCGCGTCGGTTTATAAACTGTTTTCACGAAGGCGGTTGAAACTTTCCACGGAAAGCTTTTCGGATAAAATAAAACACGAATCCGTCTGCTGTCGAGGGGGACAGAGCACTTGGTAAAATAAATTCATTATTTCGAGAAATTATGTCTGCATATTTTGCTCAAACTTCATTGCTATCTGATTGTTTCATTGTTTCTTTTTATTTCTTTTTTTTAATTTCTACTCATATTAATATTGCTATATTGTTTGTTGAAATTCATTATATGCTTCTATTATGAAAGTCACAAATTGCATTAATTTATTTGCATGCCACGCATTTTGCATTGGTTGATTTATAATATAATCCAATGGGATTAAGGGATAGTGATTGGAATTATGTTTAACACTTATATTATGTCTTGAGAAAATTTTATTTGAAATAAAAAATAATAATAGATTTTGATATGAAGTATTTACATTTATTTTAATAATCATAAAAATGAAATATTTAAAAGTTCATATATTTAATAATTTTAATATTAAAATATAAATAATGAATTTCTAAAATTATTATTAATTCAATTATTCGTTTTTGTTTATAGATATTTTAAGAAATCTTTAAGAAAAATATTATATAAATAAAAAATATAATATTTCTTTATGTTTTTATAAATTTATGTTATTGTTCTTATAAATTTTTGTGTATTTCTGATTATTTTCTCAAGACTTACTTATATAATTTTTTTCATATTGGTATAATTGGTATAATTTAGCACTTGAATGAATGAATATGTATATTTCACAAGTTAATTATTTTTATTTTTTTTATTCGTTAATCTGTGAACTAACTTAATTATTTAAATTAATCATGGTAATGTAGCCTCGTAACAATTAATTATTTATTGCGTCTTGCTTTGACAGTTTAATTATGCCTCGGCTCGTTGCAATATGGAAACGATTCTGTCATCCATTATACGCTATTCATAGTCAGTGTTTACTTTCTCATAAAGATAATTCCTCTACTTTTCCATGATTATCTTGTTTATACGTATTAAAGATGTAATTGAAATGGTGTCAATTATACTTGAGAATAAATGTAATTAATTTTACTATCAAATATAAGTGTAGTATAATTTTCTTTGCATTAGAATCTTTATTTAAATATGTTATTAACTGATAGAATATTAGAATTAATAAAAAACATAGTTTACAACTTAAATTTTATTATTATAATATTATATATTTTATATTATTTATATAATACATACATTGCATTATTAATACTTTGATTGAAGAATAATTATAAATAATAATAATTATAAATTAAATTATACAAGAATCCTTATTTTGAGAAACACTGACAGATAAATAATAGAACGTGCACAGTAGTAATAACTAGTTTGAGTCAGACATTGAACATTGAGCTTTTGATATGGAACGCGTTAACAAAAATCAGTGATATTCTTTTTCAGAATTGATACTATACATCAAAACAATGTGAAAGGTTTTATACTTGGTTCCATTTATAAATACATTTAAGTTTTTTCTTCGTTATTTTTTAGTCTGTTATTTTTATATTAGTTTATGTACATTTTTTTATGTACATTTTTTGTTGAAAATATTTTGATATTTATTGTTTTTATATGATATAAAAAATCTATAAATCATTGCTAATATTATTATTTAATATTAGTAATATACAATTAATTAAATTATTTAAATATTAAAAAAAGAATATTTATTTTTTATCTTTTTTAATGGACTTTCCTTTATAAAAATTTTATAAACTATTTCTTTCTATCCTTATTTTTTTTATTTTTTACATTTAAACTAAAAAAAAAAATTGTGAAATAAAGTTACAATCTATTTTTATAGTTTTGATGAATAGAATTGATTCTTAAAACAATCTTTCACTGCTTTTTTCTCTTTGTAATTATTATATTTAAAGTGGTAAGAAGAGCTTAAAATTTTAAAAATAAATACGGCAAATAGAAAAAATACTATTAAACATGGATAGAAAAATTAATATTTTTTATTTCGGTTTAAAAATTATTTTCTAAATATTTTTTGAAAAATATCTCTATAAATATATATAGTATATTTATAAAAAGTTACTATCAAAATATTTGTAAAATAGCTAAAACACAGAGATTTCTGAAAGAATAAGCAATTCACTTATATTGAAAATGTTAAAGCTTATGGAAATGGGGAATAAGGGTATGAAAAGAAAATTTCCTATAATCGAAAGAAAGAAATGGAGATGAAAAGAAAAAGATGATTCAATGGAAAAATTATATAAAATTTTGTCTCACTGTCTTCGGAAAAATGAAGAGTCATTAAACAGTTTCGATACCAAAAATAGAATTATAATTATATATCAAAAATAATTATAATACAATAATATATAATATTTGATAATATAACACAAAATGATTTAAAAATTCAATTGAATGATCATTAAAAAGAAATATGACTATCTGTTTATTATATTTCAACATATGTTCATTCTGTTTTTTTTTGTGCAATTTAAATGAATAGTTAGATATTTTCCAAATATATAAGATTACTTCAAAATTTTATATAATGATGCACTTTTCTTTTAAATATCTTATTATCTTAATTTCAAATATTTTCTGCAATCTTTATCTCATTAAAAACTTAGTCACTATAATACTTCATGAGATAATAAAAAAAATATGAGATTATAAAAAAATAGAGCTATACACTTTTTATTTATTTTGATATAAGAATATTATTTTTTCAATCCATGTTTATTAAAATATTTTTCTTTATTAGAAGAACTATAATATCTTCAATTTTTTTTTCTAAATTTTTATCTTGTGGATTGACAAATACTTAATATTTCAAATAAAACTTTTAATGTTTTACTTATTTTAAAATTTATTTATATTATCTTCAATTAAATTTTAAATTAAAAATTCAATGATAAAAATAAGATTTGAAAAGAATACAGAAGATTAAAGTTCTAACTAATTCTTACTTTTTACCACCTTTTATTTCTCACATTAACAATAAGAAGAAAATACATACACTTTTGTTTAAAAATTTTAGAACTTTAACAATTTTATTAAAAATTTTTTTATTAAAACATAGATTTAATTGTAAATGAATTTTTTTGATAAAATTAAATTCTTAATATATTATCTTTTTATATTTTTATATTTTCTTTGCTATATAAGAATTGAATTATTAAATTCATTAATAATTGTTTAATTTCTCTCAATTTTCAACAAAAATGTAATAGATATAATACATTCCCTAAGTTCTATATATAAATAAATTCCAAAGTTCTAAAATTCTTAAATAAGAGTATATTTTCATTTTTCATTAATACCTTGCTAGATTTTGATCTTATCTAAATTTTAATCAGCATTAATATTTCTTTTGTAAATACTTCTATCAAACTTTCTTACAAATCTTCATATTCAACTTCTAGCATTAGAACTATCAAATTTTTCAAAATATTCATAAATTTCATATTTTATTATTTTATGATTATTGAAAATACGAAAATGTTTTTAACAAAATTACATATTGTATTTTAACGAAACTGTAATATAATTACATATACTCATTTATTCTCATAATATCATAAATAATATTATATGTACATGTAATTAAAACTCATTTAAAATTCTTATTAAAAATACTTATTAAAAGATAGTTCTAATGCTAATTTTTACTATGTTTATATCCGTTTGAAAAACAGTTTTGCGGTCCACAGGATGCTCCAGTATCACCTTTCTGTCTCCGTATCTTGTCACTGGTCTCAAATACGAGCAACTAAACTGGAAGGTGATGTGTGGAGGCATGCACGACCAGCACTCGTCGAAATGTTATGGATATCACGAGAGCAATACTTACCAGGAACACGAGAACGAGTGTCAAGATCGTTGTGAACACTCCGAGAGCTTGCCATTGCTCCATGGTGAGGATTGGTCAGCTTCTGGCCGCTTTCAACGGATGCTTCAATCGTCGATGCTTCTGAATTAATTAGATTAAGGATAAATACATCATTTAGAAGTCACTGATTGATTTCACTTTTTGATAAATTTTAAATCAAAATATATAATTAGTTTTTTAACTTTTTTCCAAAAATATGATTTTTTCAAAAAATCATATACGTTTCATAAATCATTTATTAATTTTAAATACTATTAAAGAAATTATTAAATTATTTATGATTAAGATTAAATTGTAAATTTTTTTTTTTTTTGATAGAATTTAACACCTGATTGTATAGTACTATCTTTTATTATAATCATGGCAATATGTTCTATGATTAGATTTATGAATGATAATGAAATTGATGAAATCGATCAGTTTTAAACTTCTATATTACTCAAATATACTTTTTTCTAAATGATAATAATAATTTAATAAATTTTATATTAACAATTCTTTGGTAATCGAATTTGCATTTAATCTATTAATATTAATTAATGGACTTACAGTTCAAAAGTTTAGAATCACTTATTTAATAAGAAAGAATAAGAAAAATTGAATTTTTTAAAAGAAGATAATTTATATGCAAATATTTTAAATTATTAACTATAATGTAAAAATTCTAATTAAAATTATTTAAATTTAAACAATTTTATTTAAAATATTTAGACGATTTTACTTCTAAGTTATTATTTGCATATAAGAGATCAAGAAACATAAAAATTAAAACTATATTAATTTTTATTTTTATTTCGTTCTTCCTTCATTTTAAAACTTTTGAGCAATAAAATGAAAGTGAATTTGAAAAGCAGTGGCGATCGATAGATTTTAAGGCCATTCTGACTAATCTTCGACGTTTAGTCCATGCATGTCAATTTTTTCATGTTTCTTAATGACAACGAATGTTTGTAGTTTTCTATAGTTATTGAAGAAACATAAAACGAGAATCTTTAGCGTATTTGCCTTGAATAGAAATCAAAACAAATAGAAAAAAAATAGAAAAAAAAATGTTTTATAAATTGAAAATGAGAAGAAATCTTATTCATATAGAAATGAGACTTTTTTCTCAACTCGTTTTGTGCTCAAAAAAAGCAATACTCGTGTCAATATTTTTAAAAAAAAAGAATTCACATGTATAAATTTTATTTTTGATTCATTCGAATCAATGTTATATATGTGTAAAAATTTATGAAAACAATGGTTTTGTTATTTTTAGATGATTAATGTAATATAATACGTGTTCGAAATCATATCATATTTGCTGCGTAAATTTCTTTGATACATATATTTTTTTAATGCAAATAGATCTGATGTAGAAATGAAAAGTGTTTGTAGAATGAATTGTTTTAAAAGAAATTAAAACATTTATTTGCAATTTTCGATTTGATGGCATTTGAAACTGAAAATAATTATTTTAATTTTACATTCTAAATGTTATAGGAATTTTTTCATAAATTTAATTTTATTAACGATGATTTTATAAGTTAATATTTTTTTATCTGCATTTTTATTATTCTTAATTTTTCATATTGTAAAAGAAATATGATTTATTTTAAAATTTATTTCTCGTTAATAGTTATTGTCGTGATAAACGTTGCGAAAAATATAGAAATATCATTGTTACATGTTGAAACAATAAGAAGTTAAGTAAAATTGTTATAGATAATATGGATGATTATAATTTTATATTAATTAACATTTCTTTACCATTTTCGAGAGGAGAGATTTTAATGTTGTATACTAAGAATATTGTATACTATTTCCTAAAAATTTCTCTGTTACATGCCATTTTAATCATTTAGCCAATTAATGAATCAATTAATATTAAAGAATTTTATATATTTTTGTATTCGATCATTATTTTTCTTGTATATTTGAAAAATTCGATCATTCTTTGTGCGACTATGTTTAATTAATTTCGTAAAGTTCAATTTATATACATTTTTTTATACAATTTGTCAATTATGACTATTAATAGTGTATTCTATATTCCTATTGATAATAGAGCAAAAATGTTATTTTTTTCGTGATATTGTACATAAAATAGTTAAAACATTGTTAACTTACGCAGAAATACAAATAAGTGAAGACAAATAAAGAAATAAAAATATTATAAAAATTTCATTATTGAAACATACAAATTTCATTGTCAGTAAAATATTAATTTTGTATTTAAATTATTATTGTAAAGTTCATCAAAACTTTAAAACGTTTTTCATTTTTAAAGAAACAAAATGAATTCTAACTAAAATTAATAATTTTAATTTATAATATAATATTTGTGTTAATGTGTAATCAATAATCAATCTTAAATTGAAATATAAATTTTTAAGGTATGTATGGATTTATTAAAATAAAAATAACATATCACATAAATATTTTAATCACACTATTATTCATAATAATAATAATAATAATAATAATACATAAAATATCATAACATTAGCAGATATTTTTTGAAAAATAAAAGTCTTCCTTTTTTTTTTTTTGTTTTAAGAAAATTTGTTCACATATTTTTTCGCAAGAAATTAAAAAAAATTTTCTTGTTTTTTTTAATTGTTTTTTTTAATTTGCCGTTTCCTTTTCTAAAATATATAATAAAACATTATATAACGTATATGAAAAGGATAGCATATAGTACGTCGATTCTGCCACATTGTATATACTATACTCGTTGCCAGAAGGATATATACGATGTGTTATTTCTACCTTTTCAGAAAACTGTCAGATCATAGTATTCTTTCATATAAGAATAAATGTAACTGCCGATCTACTCTGCGGGAAATGTATTAGGTTGGTTCTTCTAGATATATTTACACATATGGGATTTCGATTTTTAAGTGCCACATTGTTTATTGAATTCATAAAGATCTAACGAGAAACTGAATAGAAAATAAATTTTGAAATTATTTAATCTTATAATTTATATTTAAAAATTATTTCGTTAGTTTATTTTTTAAATATTATTTTTTAAAAATATAAATATATTATATTTTTAATAATATAATATATATTAATTTTTGTAAAATTTTACACCTATATAAAAAAAAATTCATAACTTGCTATAGATTTATAAAATATATTCATTTATATAACAAAATATTTATTAAAAATTTTTTTTTTAAAAATTTTTTTATTAAAAATTTATCATAATTTGTTATTCAATTATAATAATTTAAAATTATCTAAAATTACGTTTTATTATAAAAAAATTTAAGTTCAACAAATTTTATTTTATTATATAAAATGTATTACATTTTTTTTCGTTTTATTTTTGTTCAATTTTTATTTTTATTTTTATTTTTTTTTTTTTTCTCTTTTCACACTGTTTTACCAGATTTTTACAATCTTATTTAGTTTTCATTTTCTGCCATTTTCTTTTCTTCGGTTTTTTTAAAGTCTTCTACAATATTTCTCTCTTATATTCAACTTTCCACTGTTTCTTTTAATCTTGAACAGTTTTCAATATACGTTTCTCAATTTCATTAATCCTTTTTATTTTCGTTTCATTCATTTCACTATAGTTTTATTTTACTTTCTTCCATCTTTCTTTTTCTATTCAACTTTTTTTCACCCATCCCATTGTTTTCTTGTTTTCTTTGAAGATCTGTTTCTCTGTTTTAATTATTTATTATTAACTATTCGGAAATTTTTTATTTATGATACAAAACAATATTCATTACCGTCAATTAAAATTAATCTTTAAAAAAAAATTTCAGACACGGTAATAAAAAAAGAAAAAAACTAATTGTAATTTTTTCTTCGTTCTGAAAAATAATGAAGAAACATACATTCTTGTAATGCGATAGAAATTAAGTTATCGAAATTAAGATAACAATTATTTAATTTGTATTTAAAACCTTTTTTAAACAATGTTCATTCTCTTATTATTTTCAAAGCATTCTTGAAATTTTTATTTACTGTTATTAACTGCGAAATATTTAGAAAAAATACGAATATAGACGAAATGAAAGTTAACTTCGATCCAGGTTTATTGTTTAAAGAATAAATGGATAAAGATATCGAACGAGATTTTTCTTTTATAGATTTTTTTACATACTCTTTTTATATGTTTAAACACTTAACATTAAATTTAAATAAATCACAATTTTGATAAGGTATTATTGGAATTATCATAAATGAATACGGTTTAAAGATTCGAAAAAAATTCGAATTTAAAATTTTATAGGATTTCGAAACCCTAAAAATCTGAAATATTTATTTTTTTTGTCTTCTAAGAAGTAGATATTTCGATAAAATCTTGACAAATTTTAATTTCTCAATCAAACTTAGATTCTTAATTAGCTAATAGTCATTTTTACAAACTGTACAGAATTATATAAATTGGTGCATACGAAAAGATATATTAAATTATATTACATAAAAAGAATTGTCTTTTTCAAAATTATATTACTTTTATATCATTCAGTAAATCTCTCATCTGATGATAAAAGAAATAAATTCAATATTTTAAGAAAATGAATAAATAAAAAATATAATATTATAAAATTTTAATTTTTAATATTATATTTTTTAATATTATAAAATATAATATAAAAATTATAAAATATAATATTAAAAAATATAAAAATAAATATTCATTTTATAAATTTGCAATTAAAATTATATTATCAATTGTTATTGAAGAAAATAGAATAGATACAATGTGTTGTAATGTTTGCATTACATAAATTCTACCAATTCTACCATTCTATCAATTCTACCATTCTACTAATTCTACCATTCTACCAATTCTACCATTCTACCAATGAATCCTATTTCTACAAGATTCTATTTTATATGTCAATTCTAATAGATGTACATATATATATATATATAGATTCTTATCATAATAGCAAATATCTCGTGTTAAAGCAGAATTTACATTACAGACAGCCTTAATCACAGATCTGCTAATTGTAAGGAAGATCAAAGTGAAATTTCTCCATTTAATCATACTAATGTACATGTTCATATCTCTTTCTTGTTTCTCTCGACATTCTGCTATTACTTTTTACTCTTCCTAATAATCTTTTTTGATATTTCTATCAAAAAAGAAAAAAGAAAAAAACAAAAACAATATAGTACAAATTATAATACGTTTATATAGAGAAATAATACGTTTAAAATGTTTTAGAAGTTCCATTTAAAGATTTTAGCTTTTAGTTTTAGGAAGACGAATACTTCAAATATAAAATTCTTCATTTTTTTCTAGTTTACTTTTCGTTTTTCTTTTTTCATATACAAATTTAAAAATTATTCATTTTTAATATGTGCTTAGGTTTAGAATTATTCTAGAATATCTATCCAGAATTAATAAGCGAAAGTGAAAGAATATATACTGAAATTAATTCTCTAAAAGGTGTTTGCGTCATACTAAACAACTCGCATAGTAAATAGATAGGGACTAATCTTGTTGCATTACAATGAAAGATTTTAAGCATGAAGATATGCCGGTAAAAATTAGAGAGAGAATCAAATTTTAATATTCTAGTCATTTAGTATCTCGTCTCATTAACATTTTAATAATTTCTTCTCTATTTATTTCTATGTCGAACATCTCGATTATTATAATTCACGAGACTAACTGGTTTAAAATAAAGAATTTATAGAATAAAGAATAAAAAGACACTATAACTTTCAGGTAATTAATATTAATATAATAAATTTTAATTAAAAACAAATTTTATTTTACCGAGTAAAAAAAAATTACATCCCTTTTAATTTAATATCTAATGTAAAAAAATAATATTTCATATGCACCAATCTATATTCACTACTATCAATCTTCCAAAGCGATATTTCTATGTTTATATATTAGAAACACTGTCCATTTTTTCTTACAAGGATCTTTGATTGATCATTTGGATCTTAGATCCTATTATTATATAGTATACGTAGATGTTACATAATACAAATTAGATTGTCTGGAAAGTTCGTGGATATTTTTTATAGATGATATTTTAATATGAAACAGATGTATTTTTATAAAAAAAGTTTAACTATAATTGTTTAATGAATATTAAAGATCTATTATTATTGAATTGCTGAATTATCTAAATATTTATGAATCTTCTCTACAATCAATGAATTTTCTGAATGATACTTGAGAATCTTATCTATAAAACCATATAAACACATTATAAATCAGATATTTTTAAAACATCTCCTAAATTCTAAGAAAATTTAAGAAATTTTCATTGACACGTCAAAAAACTTTCTCTTTCACTCTTTTTCCATGCAAAATATAAAAGAAACTCAGATATTCAATCGAATAAAAATATAAAATATCAAAATCAAAATTCAATTCCATAATAAATGTATACTTTTAATTAAATAAATCCCAATTTTTGAACACCCATCTATCAACATCAACGCATTTTCTATATTTTCATCCAAAAATCGACACGAACTTCCCCAACATCCCCATAAAACATACACCATTTACTCGTATGCTATAAATATACCATAGTTCACCTCGCATCAAGATTAATCGATTCATTTCAACAATATTTGGCCGGGTAAGAAGGGGAAGGTGTTGTAAATATAAACGGGTCGATTAAAGGCGAAGGAGTTGGCGATGGCCAAGGCTGGATTCGTGTCGAAATCTTCGTCGGCAGAGGGCGTCGTAGGCTCTCTGGTTCGCGGGGTCGTTGTGGTTTTCATCGTTGTCGTCGTTGTTGTCGGTTGCGGGGTGGTGGCCGTGGTGGTGAAAATTGGGGGTTGGCTTGTCGGGCGTGGAGGTTCATAGGCTGGTAATCCAGGGGGCCCGTAATACGCATGCAATCGATTGTTGGCAGGATTAAAGCGTTGACCATTAGGGCGCCATCCCCTTGGTTTATATGGCGATAAATCTGACGTTGCTAGTCCGATACAGAGAAACACGAGGGTCAGCTGGAAAATGGAAAAGCAATTAATGGCTTAGCTGTCGCGCGCTTTCCCTTTTTTGTCCTTTTTCCGGTTTGGTCGCGTTCTGAAATACGGTACGAAGGAAACGTTCCTCCCACGCGGGATCGTTTCGGATCGTTTCGGTTGATCGTTATTGTCCCGATTGATAGGGGAGGGGGTTGAGCGTTCGTTGATAGAAGAAATAAAGAGCTGGAAAACAAACGATGGAAATATATTTCTTATTTCCTCTTTCGTTTTTGTGAATTCGTGTTTTGAAATTTTGAGCCACTGCTTTCAAATTTTTTGGAATATAAATTTTTTAATTTTGGATTGTTTTTAAGTTAGATTGAAAATACGGAGTGTTTAAGAAGGAAGATTTTAAACTTTAAGAGATTTTATTATATTTATATATTATTTATTATAAAAAGTGATTAATTTAATTCTTTCAATGATTGTTCCATCAAAATTTCATTTTTTAACAAACGTATAATGTAATTTTTCCATATATGATTTCAATAATTTTAATAGAATATTTTTACTAGTCCATATATTTTATGTTTCAATTTATAATTTTATAAATTTATGTATTCATATATTCAGTTTGCAAATCGAAGAATATCTTGTTGATTTATTGTGTACATATATGAAAATCCATATTTCAGTTTTTTCATAAATAAAGATTATTCTCTCTGTATAAACTTTCGTGTCATATATCAAGATAGAAGTTTAATAATATGAAAATTAGTATTATTTTGAAATTGTATTATCGTTCATATTTCTTCTCAAAGAAACGCTCAACTCATAGGGAATTTATCACTTAAAAACGTACTAGATTTTGTATTAAATTTTGTATTAAATATGGAATGAAATTGCTGCTTTTAAAAAATTCGTAAATAAATAATACGTTTTTATTCTATTTAGTTTATATATTCTATATTTTTTCAAAATCCAATAAAAAGAAATTAAATAATCAAATTAAAAAATATTACAAATCTGTAAAAATTATGAATGAATTGAGAAACAAGAGACATGTGAAAAGAAAGAACTTTGATAAAAAGAACTCTTTTGAAAAGAGATCTGCAAATTTTTCAAATTTTCGACTTCCTAATTACTAATTTTTTACTAATTACTAATTTTTATAAATTCCTATTTCAAATTCACTAAAAATTGAGATAAAAAGCTTATAAAATCAATATAAATATTATTTATGAAAAAATATATTTTAATTATCATGTTTTATTTTTTATTCTTCTTAATTTTAAGAATTAAAAATTGTTAAAAATAGATTTTCATCCTCTTGAGTTCTTGAGTTTTGTCTATCAACTACACATTGAGACAACAATAAATTTGAATAACAATTAAATAAATATAAATTTAAAAAATTGTGATGGATCGACAGATATGTAAATTTCAATCACACGACGTTATAAACGCGATATATAAATACACAAACGATTCGAGCATTGAACGAGATCGAAACATTATTAATCGTTTCTCCTACTCATAACAAATCCATTGTCTCGTTACCACGTTTCTCCACATTATTGTTGGCCAACACTGTTAACTCCGCTTCGAAAATTTTGACTGGCTTTTGCCCGTGTCTTTCATCCGTCTTTATATGCGACCACACGTTTATGAGATCGCGTCCAGGTAGCGAAACGATTTCGTTTCATTGGTTATTGCTCACTGTTTCGTAACTATATGCCAGACCTATATTACGTGTTACGAATGGACAAATTGATTCATGACTTCTGCCTTCTTACCACTTCGATGCCAATTTTTTTTTCCTTTTTTTTGGATTTAATCTTTCGATATTTACATGTACAGTCAATCACAAATCCGGCCATATTGAATATTCGATATAAAGTAACAATAAGTATGAAGTACTCAAAAGGATATATACTTTTGAGACCAATTATACATATGTGTATGTTTTGTTTTCAGTGATATTTGAAAATATAGTAGAATACGATTCATAATGCTTATGAATATATTTTACGGAAATGTAATTGAAAAATAAAAAACAATTTTTTTTTCAATTATGTTCATAAATTTAATCCTCGAAAGATTAATGTTTACTATGCTTTTAAAAGTGCATATAGATCATGTGATGATCTTTTTAATAAACTAGTAAAAAGTTCATTCAATTTAACTATAATACATTAAATATATATTAAAAATAAATTAAATAAAAAATTTGATTTAATAAAATTTCACACAAAACGTTTAAATTAATCTAAAAATACAATAGAATCACATAAACTCGAACAGAATAGAAAGATTAAACAGATTTGTTTACTCAGTGACTAAATATTCGAGGATATTATTTGAAATAACCATCCTTTGCTTTCATGTAACATATCATAAGTATCTAAACGGTTAGTTATCACAGCATGCGCAGGATATTTAGCTAAAACATGATAATTAATCTAGATTATTAAAGAACAAATTTACATTCCATCCATATATTATACTATCCGATTATTTTTAATAAAAATTGCCAAAAATATAACTTTCTTTACGAATCTCCAGAAAGCAGCATTTCCTTCTATCATCATTTTGATGAACATGTCGACGTGTTATCTTTCTTTCTATATTTATTTTAGATATAATTGATTCTATTTCAATTTTCAATGAAATTAAAAAAAAAATAAAAAAAGTAATGAAATATGCTAAGGCAATCAGCTTATTTTACAATAATTGAAGGGCAATATCTAACTTAACAATATCAAACAACACTTGTGAAATTACTCTAGCATAAATTAATTCTTTTTTTACTTTCTTCATTTAAAGTCATTAAGTTAAAAATACATCGACAAATTGACCACCATCTTTCTAGTTAAAGTTATTTCCATATAATTTCGTTCGTTACTCGTAACAGGAAATTTCGCGACGAACCGTCATGATTTCCATGAATGATGAATATAATCTCCTCTTTGGTCCAGGTGGAAACGGTTTAAAACGCAACGGCGAAAGCAGTACATAACGGCGTTGTAGTACATAATTTTGTCACGGCTTACGTGAGCGGCGCACGTGTCCCGAATTCCGGATCCATTATGAATTCGTAAGATCGTCGTACTGACAGCTTTTATGCGTACGAATTCGATCGCCGCTCGAAAAAACGTGGCATGCAAGCTAATTATCGGATTGATAGTGAAGCTCACCCGGTTCAGATCTGGATTCCGGCTGCGGACTGCTTAGAACTTGCCGGCTCCCCGATGCCTGTGAGGAATCCTGTGCAACATCGAGAGAATAAGTTCCATTTTCTGTCGACGCTAGATGGCGTTCGGGTTTTAGTTGTTGGGGATCGAGTTCAATGTGTGATTTTTTTGTCATTTAATATTATTTTTTGATGTATAGTATATAATTAATTAATTACATGGATTGAAGTATAATGTAAGTTTATCAGGTATAGACGAGTTGAAGTTTAATTTAAATTGATAATTTAAGTCAATGTGGGATTGTCAGCACCATTTTTCATATCTAAAATGTGTCTATTTGACATATTTCAAGAATTATAATTATAGAAAATAAAAGTATTATACAATATTATTTTTAAATTTTTCAAATAGAGAAAACTAGTATTATTTATAGTATAGTAGTTCAGTTATAGATTAGATATGAAATAAATTTGTCATTTAATACATTATGAAATTCTTAAATTTCTAAAACTTTTTTTATATTTTTTTTAATTCAAGATATATTTTATTACATTTATTTAGAGATTTCATTCTAAAGATCAATTTAATATTCCATGTAATCTAAATTCTATAGATTGATCATGACAATAATTCATATGAACGTTCAAAGACAATTAATTCTCATTACAATTAATTATAATTTGTTTCGTAATGTTATTATCTCAATTTCATTTTGATTCGATAATGTCATGTATGATGCAAGAAAGATAATGACAGCCTATATAGCCTTTGGATATTTATCTAATAAAATATATATTCTCATAATAAAACAATACAAATATATCTATTCCATAATTAAATTTCTCTTCAAATAGATTAAAATTTTTAAAAAAATTTATCATATACTAATATTATATAATATTTTATACATTTAACAATATTATATAAAATTCATCTAGAATAATTTTTTTTAACTTTAATTACTTTTCTGACCTTCAATTTAAATCTATCTTCGTATTCATTCTCAATTGATCAAAATACAGAATAAATTTTCATCAATGCAATGGATAAAGATCGATTGTCACATATAAACAAATCAACAAGCCAATGCGCACAAGTCATAGCGAGGAATAGAATATTTATACGAAATTTTCCATTTATTTTCATGGAAAGGGGGCGCGTGCCCGTATGAATTAAATGGAATCTATCGATCTACGTCCACTCGAGTCCATTTGTGGTGACCTGTCGTTTCCGCTTTTCATTCCAGCCTCCCCCCCGTTATCGGTAATCCATAAGTCCCTTTGTGATAATCGCAATCTCAACGAAACCCTCCCTTTCGTGCACGTTTATGCTGTCAATAGATCAATATCTTTTTCAGGGGATGTGTTTGACATTGGCTGCACCCTGCACTTAGAAAAGGGAGAAAGACGAGAGATACGAGACATTCTTCGCGACAATTTCAATCGTTCAATTGCTCCATGTTTGTGTTAATTGGTTTGAACAATAGTGTAGAGCATGTTGGATTATATATAGGATTCTTCTTAAATATTTGTTGAATTTTAATCCTTTAATTAAATTATTCATTGGTAATGTGCATTGGTGAACAAAAATATAGAAAATGTTTTATTACAGTACATTGCTATTTATTATCGGGACAATAAATAAAAGAATTATTAGATCGATAATAAAGTATAATCGTTTACTTCTCTTCTCAGATAAAATTTTGTCTTACGGTTAATAGACCATAACAATAGTATGTTATGGTATAATAAAGAGTTTGTATAAGAAAATTGATGTAAAAAAAAATGTTGATTGAGTTAGTTTATTTATAATTACAATATTAATATTATAACATTATAACCTCGACTCAATTTTCGTATTTGCTTTCAAAATAAAATCGATCCTCTTAAGACGTTCTACGAATATATTAAGTATTCTATATAATTCAATTTAAAATTTTCCCAAAGGAAAAAAAGGAAAATAATATTGATAATTATCAACAAATCCAAGCTACGATGCAAGGATCTTCAGAAAAGGAATATCAATTTGCAATAGAAGACAGCCTTTTTTTTTTTTCTCTCGATGAATTCTTCGACAGACACGATAAAAATAAACGAATAGTGGAGTAATGTCTAGTCCGAGCGTCAAGATGAGATCTACGTAACGTTCTGTGGCGGACAGATAGGAGTGCCAGATTGATCGAAAGCGCAAAATATAATACTCCGTATTGGGTACTTTTGTTCTCTGATCGAGTATATCAAATATTCTGGTCGAGTAACAAGTGGTGCACGCGTCATGTCACGTGTCAGGCGCAATGCACATTGCACACTACGACCTGGCCACGACGATGCCTTTTACCTGAAAACAGAAAGATGAATATTCCTTGTCGATAAAAGTTCGTACTCTTTGCTCCTATCCCTTCGTCAATCTGTTCGATTTCACCGTACGTATTGGTAAACATGTGATTTCTTTCTTGAATTTTGCATTTCATTTTTTTTTTTGTATCATTTTTGATCTTTTTAATTTTTTCACGTTTAATTCGATAAATTTATCATTAAATCTTTTTTTAGATTGGATTAAGACGCAAGAAAATTCATTTGGAAAAAAATTATTATTAAATTATTTTAATATCGGGCAAACGTGTGAAAATTTTTATTTATCGTTGTTTTCGTTTTTTTTTTTTAGATTCTAAATTAAAGGAAAGAAGAAAGTTTTTATCAATGAACGAAACAATAATTTATTCGATATATTTGATTGCAACGATTATTTCATTTGTTTAACATTTTTTTTTTTAAATTTGTTTTTTCATGATATTCCATTTTAATTCCGATCAATTTGCGTTTATGAGGCCAGTTTATATTGAATATATACATTATTCATGAATATAAGCAGCAATAAAGTCGTCTAATTAAAATAATTTGCATTATACATATAATTAAAATTAGCCAAAACTGGCAAACGTTATTAGATTTCAGCGTGGCAGTGTAAATGTCGATCTCTAAATTCAAGGAGAAAAATGAGGGAATTTTCGGGCAAAAATATGGCGTTCTTTTGGTTGGACCGACAGACGTTTATTAAATTTCAGTCCGTTGCAAACGTTGCCTCGAGGAGATTAAACAATTTTATTCCTCGCGTCGAGAATCTTTCTGTTAAAATTGACGGATCAATTAGAAGTTCTCGTAATATATTTTTTTTTTAACGTGGTTTCAATATATTTATGTCGTTGAATATAAAATTAAAATTGAAACCAGGGAGTAACGTTGAACAAAATATTCTGTTGTCAAACTATTCTATTATATTTTATTCTCAGGATTTTATTAATTAACTATTTTAATTAATTATTCATATTTGTACGAATTTTTTTAAATTAATATTTTTTAAAATTGTAAAATTTCTATTTTTACATTCAAATTTATAAGAGAGAAAGAGAAAAAGAACATTATAATATATTATTATATATGTTATTATTAATACATTATATATATGGTATAAATATATATTATATGCATCCAATCCATATTTTCACAGATATTTATTAAAATTTTTTTCTCATTAATTACATTTATTTCCTTTAGATGTATTTATTACATCTTCTGTCATCCATGCAGTCATTCACAATAATTATTTCATTCAAACATCGCAGAGTTGTCTATATACAAATGTATAAAAAGAAGAATATCTTTATTATAATAATATTTATAATAAATAAACTGCAAATGTTTATTTCAAATTCATATTTTTATGAATACAACTAAGAAAATATTATGTGTATATTTTCGTGTATTTAAATTTCTTATATAAATGCAGTCTAGTAATAATCCTTTCATGATGATAACTCTTCCAATCCATACGAATTATGATATTCGATATCAATTTCATTTTATTGAAAATTTTCTTGAGAATAATAATTTTCTTGAAATAAATAATTTTTTGCAGGTAAGAAAATAGAAATCATACATTAATACATTCAAAATTACGTGATTTCATTTAAAAAACAAACTTGATCTTCATATGACTTCTACATTTCTACATTATTGTCTGCACTATTCAATTTTAATTTAAAATATTTTTTAATATTATTGAAAATCAAATCAAATTATTTTGTTCACCCTGTATATAGTCATTGATGAGGTATAGAATATGGATCATTATTTATTACAAAAAATATGGATAGTGGAAAACATGTAGTAAAGTTATACCGATTCAATTCTTAAAGGATTACATCTTCCATTATATTCCATTATATTAGATCGTGTTATATATTCCACATATACTTCTTTTCCTAATAGATTCCTTTACCGTTTAAATTTATAATAATGCTTAATTAATTGTCACGAAATTATCCTTACCAATTCCTTACTATAAAATTGAAATTAAAATAAAGTATTTTTTCCCATATTATTCATAAGAAATAATATTTTTCTTCCTCTCTCAATTTCTACGAAATCAATACAAAATGCATCAATCCGTTTCCAATTATATTTAACCAGGCATTATTATATACATATAACCTTACAACATCTCTTCCACCCCTATACTCAAGATTCGATATTTGAAGCAAAATGTCACGTTGTTAATATAAAAAATACACGATAATTAAGAGCGAATCAATTTTTCTCGAGTCCATTGCGCTCGTTGCTCTTTTCACTCTGTTCAACACCGACATAATGGACACTATTTCTGGCATCCTGACGCCTTTGCACATCCTTCGTCAGCATGGTCATGATAAACCCAATGAGCAGTGCTACACAAAGGCCCACGTGCACCGGAATATCCCCGTATACCTCGAGCAACCGACCCATTATCAGAATGAGAACAATCCCGTAAACGTTTCCAGCCACGTTCAAAATTCCCGCCGTTATCCCCTCGGATTCCGGATACGTGTATTCCGCGCACATTTCGTATCCTAAGGCCACATATCCGACTAAGAAGTACCTGCGGAAAGTAATTGCGTTTTAGAGGCGGATTGGAATCAATTGCAAGTGAATGAGTTTCAGGGGAAAGAGAATCTCTTGGAGGACAATTTTCGATTATGAACAAGTGCTGAAATTTTCATGATATGATTTAAAGAGAAAATAAAATTTGTTATTTATAAAATAATAATACGAAATTGACGATGAAGATGATAAATATTTAATTGTATAAAATTATATATTTGTTTTTCATTTCTGTATTATTAATTTTTTCTTCTGTTTATTTTTTTTAAATTAATTTTGGTGATTCGATATCAATTGAAATCATTGATCGAGAGTTATAAATTTTGGAAAAAATTGATTTGGAAAAAAATTGGTTATTGTACAATTATGTTTTATTTTTAATTTTAATTTCAATTTTAATTACCAAAAAAAAAAAAAAATAAATATTCTTTATTATAATTAGCTAAATTAAATCCACTGAAAGTTAAAGTTTAATAAAATACCAAGATTTCGTTTTTTTTTTCATAAAATAATTAACAAACGCGAATGAAATAAAATTTAATTTTATATTAAATATTTTATATTCAAAAAAATATTTACGAATTTGAAATGGTTCGATATTAATAAAAACACGATGATATATGTATTTGTATACAGTACCCTAGAAAAACGGAGCCCAAATACACCATCCATTTCATTTCGAGGAACGTGAAGGTAGAAAAGAATATCTGGCCGCCGAGCGAGAGAAAATACACGACCACAGCCGTTTCCCTGAAAGTATATGTGTCCAATTTCGTTAAAAAATATTAAAAAAAAAAGATATACATAAATATAAAAAAAAAATATACGACAACGAAGTGCATGTTAAAATAGTGAAAGTATCGAGAGGCTGATCCATTCTTATATCTATAACTAAAATGAATATGATTAGCATTGTTGAATTTAGAAACATTGAATTGTGAAAATTTGATGAATGTATGCGTGTATATATTTCAAGCGTATTTGTTTATCTTTAATTTTATCGAATTTCGATTAAATTATTGATATTGAATTAAATATTAAAACGATTTCCAAATATTTTCTATATTTTTCATTTCATATCGTTCAAAATGGATCTTTCATTATATTATTTTATTTAATATTATTAATGGATAAAATAATATTTGGTAAAGAATAATTGTATCTGAAATATTCAATAATTATTTATTAATTAATTCATTAATTCATTTATTAATTAATTCATTAATTATTGATAGTAACTTTGCTTGAAATATATATCCAGAATTCTTTGGCCAATAAGCGGCAATAATAAAGAAGAATAAAATAAAATTCATGCAACGATAGAAGAAGATAATAGAAAATAATTTGACAGAAGCGGAAGATAAATTTTCATAAAAATTTTCTTACTTGTACTTATGCGTTTTATCGAGAATCACTCCAAAACTGACAGAACCTATCATCCCTGTAATGATCAAGACCAAACCGATTCTACCCGCGTCTTCCTCACCATTCTGTAAAATGTTCAACGTTTCATAATTAGAATAACTAATCCTTTATTACATAGATATATCCAATATTCTTTCTAAAATTCGAATATTTTAAAGATAAGAAGAATAAATATTCCTCAAATGCTGCTCAAAAACTTATACTGTTTTAATCAGCTCACCTCGAAATGCACGAGATATATTTGATTCAACAATGTTCCCACGGCGTTTAAAACACCGATACTCAAACCATACGAATTGCAAAGAGACATATAATACTTGTTCTTGAACAATCTCTTAATTGGTTCTATCAAACTTTCCTCGACCTGCATTTCATTCAATTTTTGAAGAGCTCGTGTTTTACTCGGTGGTATTTTTGGATCGTCCTCGAATACTGTACAGAATAAAATTTTCCCTCGTATATATTATATTCCTTTAGAATCCTTTAGAATAACGATATATATTATTATACGAATTTATATAAAAAAATCGAATAATTATATTATCAAAATAATTTTAAGAATTTTTATTAATTTATAAATCTTATTAAATGAATTTTTATTAATTCTGGAATATCAAGGATTTTCTCGATATTTCATTTATAAATTAAAAAATGATTCTTTTCTTAGAAATAACTTACGTATTACGATCAATATAAGCACAACTGTTAAGATGATAGCTACGCCCCAAAACAGATGCGACAAGCCAGCACCAATATCGTCTAGATTCTCGTGATTTTTCACGATTATCGGTGTAATTAAGAAACTTAAAGCTATCCCCATTTGGTTGCCAAAAATGCTTAATGACGTAGCCGTGGAAAGTTCGTCGGCGGCGAACCATTGCGCTGCCAGACGTCCGGGTAACGTTAGAATTATAGTCTGAGACGAGAAGATAAAAATAAAAAACGCCTAATTTATAAATAATAATGCAATTAAATTAATGAATAAAAAAATTAAGAAACATGTATTCGATTATATATGATCACAATGTATTATATATATAAATTATATAAAAATGATGACTTATTGTTACTTCTTTATAATATCTCAAAATAAATGTTGCGTTTTCTTTTTTTATTTTTATCGCACGATGATCATTCCATAGACTTGGAAATAACAATATATCTCGGAAGAGAAGTCACAAAAGTTTCATTAAACTCGAAATGCAGTCAGTGAACGAGCATAAATCTTTCTACGGAGATAGTGCCTCCGGGTTAAATCCATGGTGCATAAAGTTCGACCAGACTTGTAATTCCTTGCATTAGCAATAATTTACGACACATTTTCACATATTCGTTTCTACCATGTTTGTGATTCGCCCGATTATTGCAACATGTTCGATCTCTCTTGTTTGGGCAAAGCCTGCGAATGTAATCCTTGAAACACGTGAAAACTCGATTTTAAATATTTTCGATGAAAATTGCGCGTGCAAACTGATTAAATGTGTGTACGAAATAATAATAATTAATGTAGATATAATCGATTGTGTTTCGAGTCGTATATTATAACCGTTGTTTACTGATTGATTTATTGTGTCGCTTATCTTGTTTTATACTACTTGTAACTGGAACAGTCTGATATAAACAGTATCATATCACTTGTACCACGTAATTGCATGTCATTTTTATTTTTCTTTTTAATTTTGTTTACTTTTTTTATTTTATTCGAAATATCCATTATCGTTTTTTTTTAGCATTTGATAATTATAAATATAATTATTTTTTTTCTTCTTTCTTGGTTTTAATTTTATTCTCCAGGATATATAAGATAAAACGATTTAAATCTCTAGTTTAATTTTTATTTTAATTTTTATTGATGAAATGATTTTTTATTAAAACTTATTTTATTTGCTTTTAATAATTACAAATATACTTTTTTTGGTTTTAATTTATTTTTTTAAGAGATCGAAGCGATTATTTTTTGTAATATAATAAATATTTTTTATATTACAAGATAAATTGAAAACATTATTATTTGTTTTTGAAATGAATGAAATCTAACCTGTGTAGAAGCAACCAAGGATTGTCCAATGAAAGTGACCCAAAATCTGTCAGGACTGACAGATAAAACCTTAATCCACGAACCAAAGCACGTGATACAACATCCTATAATGTTACTCCATCTAAGCCCCCATCGGTTCACCATGTACGTGGTAGGAAAGATGAAAATCAGGTAATAAGCCATAAATGCCATTGCTGTCCAGTCGACAGCCAATGAAGAGACGCCATAGTACCTGAGAAATGTTTTTACTTTCAAATTTCAAATTTTTCTTTCTTGATATTGCTGAATTTTATTTATTCAATTTATTCAAATTTTGTCAAATCCAATTTTCTAATGAACTATAGTAAGAAAATAAAGTTTTTTAACTTATGTAATATCATTGAATTTATTTTGTCTATCTGAAATTTTTTCAATGTTCTAGACTTTCAGAGATTTAGAAAAAATTTATAGTTCATTCATTATCTCTGTTTCTAGATTAATTATTAAAATGTTTTTTTAATAACAATTGAAAATATTGATAATTTTTAAATGGACCCAAGAATGTTATAGAAGATTAAATGAAATGATATCATATAGATATTTTTACATGTTTTGAAATATGATATTGAAAAACATGCTAATTTGGAAGAATTAATTCGTTATCTTTGTTTTGTCATTTGGGAAATGGAAACATTTTATTGTTTGCTTATTTACTCTATTGTACATTATCTGTTTGCATTTTGTATTAACAAGAATGTATCGAGAGTATATATATAGAATTTGTTTAAAAAGTCAATAGTTAATTTTAACGTAGACGACGAACATATTACGAGTTTTTATTTGATTTTTGATAGAACAAGAGGAAAATTTTAGGTCAATCGTTACAAGTTTTTGTCTTGTAATTCAATTCCTCAGAAATACAAAAAAATATAAGTCTTTATTTTGAGATATAATAAATGCAAAAAAATAAAAATTACAAAATAAAAAAATAAATTAATAACTTACTTAATTTTAAAAGAATGTTTCGATATCTTTTGACAAAATTTTCAACAAAATAAAAATTTTTAATATACTAAAAAATATTCTTAATACTTTTTGAGAATTTTTTCAATTTATATAAATATTATATATCATAATTCGAAAAAACAAAAATTCAAATACCTGCTCACTATATTGCTGACTATAGAATATTGAATCCATTGGAAGTTGCTCATTCCCGTGTACACGATAAATAAACCCAGAATCAGCCATCGTTTCTTGTAAATCTTCGTTTCCAACGAATTACCATTATTTTTCTCATTCCCATTCATCGTCTTCACCACATTCTTCACGCACAATACCTCGTTCAGATCCTTCTCGTCCGTCATTCTCATCCTTTCAAAAATTGTCAATCTTCCCTCTCAATTTAATTAAACGAATAAACAACTAAACACGATCAAAATTTTTATCAACAAATTCTATATATATATAATCTACAAATCTAAAAATCTGATACCTATCTCTCAGAATTTTTTCATATTCTATAACCTAAATATTTTCTTCTATAAATTCTTTCGAATTCTTCATGCGTGTTCCTCTTCGATCGAACAACTTACGAAACTTCAATCTTTTCCATTCACAGAGAATCCGGTGCACACTTTTCACGATTTCTTTTCGAAAACCTTCGTGTTCATCACCTCCAATAGCGAAACCAATAACCCAGACCCTGCATGCACGGAGGAGCGAATTCTTCGAACTGGATTCAAAATAATCGCGTCTCCATCTCGATCAGAGCACAGTGTGTCTACACACAAGTGCCATCGCCTTATCTCGATACGCGATTAAACAAAAGATCGTCTTATATTTGCGACTGGCTACCTTCCGTATTTGTCGTTATCGCGATTTTTATCGCGTCTCGCGTCGATCTTAGCTACGAATCCAATCGATCCATCTTTCAGTTCATCACGAGCCGATCGCGAGATCGTCTATCGATCATTTTATCGATACATCCTCCCCCCTCATCGTCTCTGTCCAACAATTTGCCGATTGTAGGCCTTCATTTTGCCCTCCTTTTATTTTTCCCTTCATTTTGAGCGTTAAACCGGTTACAGGTTTCATGAAATTCGTGACGAAGAATTAAGACTCTTTTATGACATCCATCAACAGCATGATCTCGATGCAAACACGTATTAATCTTGGCGCTTGTCTCGAATGGCGAGACGTTTGTGAGGAGAAAAAAAATATCTGACGCCATTTTATACGATTTGTCGGTTTTAATCAATGTTGCAATATTACGATTTCAGATGATTGTTTCGTCTTTCTTGTTATTTCTTTGTTTGGAAATGGGTGGCCTCTATGCATTGGTATTTTTTTAATGTGTTTGAAAAATAATATATTTTTTATATATTTGAAGATTGTAAGGAATTGATTTTGATAATAATATTAATTTTATACTATTTATATTTATTTTTTAACCATTCTCTTATATTTTGATCTATTCTTGTTTTATCAGAGGATAGTAAGATTAATCGATTTTGATAAAAAATAATAATTTAAAAGAAATCTTAAAATTTTTTTCTCTTTAAAAACAAAGAAAACTAATAATTAATTATATAACACTAATAATAAAATAATTATCAAACAAATCTTCAGTTTATATTATGTAAATAGAATCTGTGATAAGTTATATAATTGTAAGTCTTGCTTATCGTTGATATCTAATTTAAGCTTCTGTTTACTTTTCCATCGATATTTTCAGATTTCAAATCTCGTTTCAAATCCTATTCAGAGGAAAGTGTGATAAACAATAAAGTAAAATGCCAAGATTTCGTTTTGATTATTCTTTATCAATATTGTGTAATCATAAATTTAAATTTTAATTCAATACATTTCGTGATCGTTGCAATTGTATAAAATATTTTATGTTCATAATAGTAAATAAATATCGTATAATAATGAATATAACAGAAGTTTATTAGATATTACATTTTAACAATAAAGACAATGCAAATCTGAGGCTCTCTTTGAGTTACATAAGTTTATAATTTATTACAAAATTAAACATCTCCGACACAATCCTCTCCATAAACTTCGAGACACTCTTAAATGCATTAACATCAAACGGTAACATTAAAAAACGTCGGAAAAACTATGAATGACTGAGTGGTGCATACGGAAATTTTTTTTTATTTTCCATTGTAAAAATATGTGACATTCGCGTGTGTGGTACAGTACCAAAATTTCGTCCTGCAATTAGAAAATTATATTATAGACGATTATTATAAATATTTCATTTGACAAAAAAATATTCGATTAATAAAATATATATTAAATATATCGAAAATCTTTTTCTTCAAAATTAATTAATTAATGATAATTCAAAAAAATTATATACATATATTACATAATATATATTAATATTAAATAATAATTTCTCTTAAGAATAAACAATCTCAAACAAATTTCAACTCAAATTCTACAAGATCGAAAGATCCTTCTTAATCAATTCCCATTTTCCAATCCAAAATTAAAAAAAAAAAGGAAAAAAAAAATCACGAATTATATACATCTAATTTCAAAATCTATTAACAATTTTATAATTTCGATTCTCATTTGCCTTATTTATATACGTATATACACAACAGACTCAACAATTATTTATCGATTCTAACTAACTTCTTACGAAAAAATATATTATCTGCTCTGAAATATTTAATTATAAATATCGACACGCTTCGTACGACACGCAAAACACGACTGTCGTAGTTTAATTTTAAACGAGGCAGGCACGCAATGTCGGTACTTCACCACATCACGGTTACCTTAACATTATACGCGCAACATCGCTCTCTTCTTTCTCGTTTTAAATTCTTTTTTTACTCCCAATAATCGTTCTATCTGTACACACGCATACCTATACCATGCCCCAAATCATCCGCTCTCGAAATGAGCCCTCGAAAATATATTACAAACGACGGATCGCTATCGTGTTACGAAATTGAAAGTACAAGTTTGTTGTTTTATCTCGTTATTTCGTACGGATTAATATTAAAGTGTCTCGTTTACATGTACATATAATATATATATATATATATATTTATAATATATAATATTTATGTATACAATATATCATACATTTAACATATGTCATCTATGTTAAACGTATAATATATTTTATATTAAATTATATTCAATATATATATATATATAATATATATACAATTATATATATATTTATTTGTATTTGCATTTATATTTATATCTATACACATTTAGTCTAACGATTACTCGTATTGTATACAATTTATTGTTTATTTATTACTATGTAAACGTTTTTTGAGACTTTTTGAGTCCGGTACAATTGATATTTTAACCTGTTAACGTATGTGTACGTTATATATATATATTACAAACTATTCAATTCACCGAGCAACAGTTCACACAGGCCGACACTCTGAATGTAAAAACACGTGGAAAAAGGTTATTTTTTTTTTTTTTTTTTTTAAAT